TGTGGTTTTTGGTTTCGGAGATATGACCATGTTTTTCAGGCCATGTCATGACCCAAATGGCCAATTCTCAACATCTTGCGTTGGCTATGGGCCTTGTGAGCTTTTGACACCTTGATTTCGGCCTTTTTTGCCAGTCTTACCTCCCACCTATCATGGAACATGTTGTTCGACGATGTACAGATGTCAAGGTCAAGGTCAAGGTCAACCTAGGTCATCTAAGATAATTGCGTTTTGGGCAAGCGGAATTTACTTTTTGTGAAGTTTTTTGACTCCATTTTTGGTAAAAGCTTCTCAGATCATGATTTCATGTAATATGGACACATAAACAATCGGTGCACACATCAGACCACACACAGGCACACACAGACATACAAACACATATAATTGACCTTGACCTAACTTGACCTGAAATGACCTCAGCAGCAAAAATCTGCTCGGGTAGTGTGACAAAGAGGTTCTAGCTGGCTTGGCACCAGAAAACAGCATCGTCATCGGTATGTGATGAGCAGCGCACTTGATATCCAACGGTGACCCAAAACAGCAACATTTTTTAGTAAGAGGTTTGCGAGTTGCGACGATCGGCGCATTAGTTTCATAGATAATGCGAAAAGACTGGATTGATTTGATATATAATATATTTAATTCATCTTGATTTATTGGTGGTTTTACCTTATAAATATTTCGATAAATAAGCCTTGCGCTCAAACGGGTCACCCACGCTCTGCTATTGCAATGGGAGAGTTAGCTTCAGCTGCCAGCGGCCAGTTTTTGCAAACGGCAGCGCTGCACCCGACTGGCGTGAATGTCTGACGTCATTTCCGCCCATAGCTGGCTGGCCGGTATAAAACGGGCTGCAGAGGACAGACAAATCACAGTAGATCTGAAACACCCATTGGAACACATTCAGTTGCGTTCTTGTGTGATAGTTTAAACATTCTTGTGAAAGGTTGAGAGTCTTGTCCGTCGCATTCTAACTGCATCATACCGTGAAAATGAGGCCCTTTGCTGTCGCCCTTGCCGTTTTCTTTTTCGTTGTAGTGGTGACAACAGAAGACAGCGATTCAGGTGGTGACGACACGGGTGATTCGTCAGAAGAAGCCACCACCACCACGACGGAGCCGGTAAGTTCCCGGTAAATATACTGGTTAATCAACTCTTAGGTAAAACTCTTAGGTGTATGTACTGGTAAAAATTGCTGGCATCTCACCACACGTAACGCTTTGAAGGTTGGTAGTAGTACAATTCACGTTAATAGCAACTGATATTTGTTAACCCGCGCCCCGCTGGGGGGGGGGGGGGGCAGAATCTGCCCCCTCCCGTTTTGCGCCAATAACTTCTAAACGCGTTACGCCAGCGACGTCAAACTTTCAGTACCTTATTATACATCAATTTGATACGTTCCCTGAAAATTTGAGCGAAAGTCGGATTTTTTTTGAGAAATTGACGTTTTAGTGACGTCATGTTACCCATTTTCGCCTCAAAAACGGCAAAATTTCAAACGCCGCTAACATCTTCATTTTTAAAGGAAACAAGACGTAACAAAAATGTTACACGTGATTCTACTTTGTCTATCAAATGGCTATCTCGAATTTTGAAAAATACGGATTTTGGTCTATTTTTTTCTAAAAAAACTGACTTTTTTTGGAAAATAGGTATGAAAATTCAAAATTTTGAGTGTATCGAAAAAAAAAACAGGTATATATGTCAGAGTAGTGGTCAATTTGCACCGACATATTAATTTTTAGAAGAATCGGTTCAAAAATGTCGGCGGTATTCAAAATGTTATGACGTCACGACACACAAAAATTTTGAAAAATGATTTTTTGGAAGTTCTAGACCTCGCACGGTAACAAAAAATAGCATCATTCGATTCGTCGTGAAACACTGCATCAGATGGACACCTGTTTAGGCCTTAACAACCAACTTCAAAATTTGACCTCACTTGACCTGGCCTTGACCTGACCTCGACCTGAAATTCATCCAGAGATGGTCTATATCACTTATTGAGTGTGCTCATTGAATTTTATGAGTAAAATGACCCATAAAACATGTGTCGCATATGCCCTTTTCTATATTTTTTTTTGGTGACCTGACCTGACCTGACCTTGACCTTGACCTTTGAATGACATTGTGTGCAACGAATATTGTCTTGGTAGTCTAAGAACACGTTTTGGGCAATCAGTCTCAGTCCATTCTTCGGCAACTACGGCGCAAGGCCGATACTGTAGAAACTTGCATTTTGTACCCTTGACCTGACCTTGACCTGACCTCTGACCTACTTAAGCAAAAAAATTTGGGCTCTTAAGATTCGCCTTGTTGAGAGCTTTCGATTGCCGTTTTCCCCGTCTTTCTACGACCATCGGTTCGGAAGTTAGACGCCCCCCCCCCCCCCCCCAGCAGGGCGCTTATGGCTGAATAGCCCAGCGGGGCGCGGGTTAATACTTCGTACAATGACCAGCTATCTAATTCTACGCTTACGTAAGATATTTGCCATATAAATTGGGTACCTATCTACCAAATTTTTGGTATACCGATTCTAAATAGTTACCAACTCGGTTATTAGTTGTTTTTTTTTTTCAAAGCCAATGCATTTTGTAGGCATTGAATTGTTATTATGAGTATTCACTAAAAAGAGGCTGTCGGTCTGGCGAAAATTCATATTATCCTGATAATACAAAATCGGTTCGATTTCGGTATTTTTGCAAATATATATTGTTGGAAATTGGCTTGGTATCGGTACCACAATTTTATATAGGTAATTGACACCGCTTTTATGCCGTTTTTAATTAATTCACAGAGTTTATGTCCGGAGGGATTCGGCTTCTGCAACGGCACGTGTTTTTCAACCACGTTTTTTGACGACTCTCCATTTCCACAAACCCCACACTGCTCCGGCCCCGGCGAACGTCTGCCTCTACCGACCACCCCCCAACAAGCGGAGTGTCTTCTGGACTTCAATGGCAACCAGACCGCGAATGTCCTGACCGGGTATATTCGGTCTCCAGACGGGTCTTTGGCTCGGCCGGGGGGCTCGGTCGAGCCAAATGAGGGTGCATGTGTGACAATTCTTTCATCCACCCTGGTGAAAACGTGGCTTCGGTGTCCTGAAACTGTTCGAGTTGTATGCGAATTTCCGCTGAATGGTGACTCGACTAAATAGGTCTGCATAGATGGTGCCAGTGGCCTGTGCACTCAGACCCATCCGTCTATCAGACCAAACTAGACCAGGTCTGACCATCTCCAGACTAGCGTAAACTGAACTAACTAGCAGGAACCGGACCAGAATCAGATCAGACCAGCCCAGATTAGACCAGAGCCAGACCAGACCAGACCGAACCACAGTGAAACAGACCAGAGTCAGATCAGATCTGGGCTTTGTGTGTAATGTGTATCTTTGATTTTAGGTAGGCACGGGCTGTGGCTGTTTACCCGTAATCCATGTAATCTGTCTCTGCTTGTAGTGACCCACCGGGAATGAAGCCATTTTCTTTCTCCTGCATCATCGTAAGAAATGTCATGAACTTATGACAAGCTCTCGTCATCTCGTATTTTCGCTCTGTGTAGTGTGCCTTCCGTGTTTATCCGCCCCTCTTTCTCGTTTACTTTCCCCTTTGAAACACGTGTGATGCCTAATGCATTTGAAGCTCCGCCCCTCGCCCGCACATGGGGGTGGTGGTTGCCACCCCCCCCCCCCCAGGTAGTCTTTCTGCTCTTCACTCAACATTTTAGAGCTAGAAGCCTGATTTTTTTGTATAACTTCTCCGCTATCCTTTTCTTGATGTCGACTAAAAATTTCAAGTTTCGGTGGTTTTTGGTTTCGGAGATATGACCTTGTTTGTCAGGTCATGTCATGACCCTAATGGCCAATTCTCAACATCTTGCGTTGGCTATGGGCCTTGTGAGCTTTTGACACCTTGATTTCGGTCTTTTTTGCCAGTCTTACCTCCCAACTATCATGGAACATGTTGTTCGACGATGTACAGATGTTAAGGTCAGGGTCAAGGTCAACCTAGGTCATCTAAGATAATTGCGTTTTAGGCAAGATGAATTTACTTTTTGTGAAGTTTTTTGACTGCATTTTTGGTAAAAGCTTCTCAGATCATGATTTCATGTAATATAAACACAAACAATCGGTGCACACATCAGTATACACAAAGACACACACAGACATAGAAAATTACATATTACTGACCTTGACCTGAAATGACCTCAGTAGCAAAAATCTGGTCGGGTAGTGTGACAAAGAGGTTCAAGCTGGCTTGGCACCAGAAAACGGCATTGTCATCGGCATATGATAAGCAGCGCACTTGATATCCAACGGTGACCCAAAAGAGCAACAATTTTTAGTTTGACCTGACCTGGAAGGTCAATGACTGACCTGGGAAGGTAAAACTGGGTATCATTAGATTTGTCTCTTCCCAAAGAATCTTTTTGGTCTTTACCGCTAAGCTCTATCTCCAACAGGAACGAAATGGCGCGGGTGGTGGCAACAGGCAACCCCCCATGTGCGTTCTAGGATGGGAAAATGGCATGTGCGGGCGAGAGTGAATTTATTTGCGTGTATACTGCACTGAATGGTGGGGTAGACGTATTTGTTACCCTCTAAGCTGAAATACATGTGTGAAAATACACCCATTTTGTGTTACCTGTGCTTGAATAAAATGGGAGTTGGAATGAGTATTACAATACACTTAGTTTGTGAATTTTGATACGCGTGTAACCGTACACTCTCGGAAATATGCGAGCTAAAGCACACTCGGAATGAGTGTGGGTGTGTTCCAACATCTACATTGTCGCCAAGGTGGTCTTCCTTCAAAGCGACGTGTGGTCAGGAAGGGGGTGGGGGTGGGGGTGGGGGTGCAAACTCTGACTCTGTAGTAGGATTGCTATTGCATAACATATTTTTGTAGGTCAACTGCCAATAAGGAATGGTGTTGAAGAAATGACGTTGCTTCCTTCATTTGACACGGTCTATTGAAACAACACAAACGGATGTGCATTTATTACAAACGTGGCTGGGCATTCGAGTATTCACAGCAAAGATCGCCACAATCATATATATAACGCTATTTAATCGCTTTGTCTGGTATTCCAAAATGGATAGAGGTATAGAATGGAGAAAGGGGAGGAGAGAGAGAGAGAGGGGGGAGAAAGTGAGAGAGAGAGACATGGTTGGTAATATTTGCGTGGATAAACAATTAAGCATACAACACATGAAAACAAAAATTACGATACAATATCGTGATATTGTCGATGCAAGTTATGCATGGATTTTCTGCAAGGCATTCGACTGAGTATGCGTAATACCTCAGTCTATAATTTCAGCAAACATTACAACCATCAAGTCCTTAAACAACGTTTTGTCCCCTTGCTGGAACACAATGCTCATGACACATATATATTACTTACACAGCTAAGGCCACAGGTTACACACTTATCAGCATCCAAACACATTCAATTCACGCTTGCTAGCCGGCATCGCTAGCCGGTATTCGATAAAAGTGAGTAAGCATTGCCGAGCACAATTGATCACGATGCTTCAGTGGACGGATTGGGTAAATTGACGGATTGGGTATGGACGGATTGATTGAAGTGGACGGATTGGGGGACGGATTGATTGAGGTTAACGGACTGAGTGATGTGGACAGATATGTTCGAATAACATAATCACAAGCGACATTTACGTGGTGCAGTTCCGTTCAACAACGGACTAAGTCACCATTTGACATAATGTGATCGAAACCAAACTAGATCTCGCTGAAGGCATCGCTAACAATTAGTGTGAAGTTTCCTATTATCTTGCTTGTACATGGTACACATTTCATCATTGCATAGTGCATCCTGAACGACTTGTAACAAAAGCTTCAGAAAAAAGATCAAATGATATGGACACAACATTGCACTGCACTAGAAATGGTAATTTTTCAATTCACCCAGACTAATAAAGCGGCAAATGATAATACAATGCATGTGTTGTGTACACACCTAATTTCTCAGAATCCTCTGCTGCACACATACTTTCATGGTTTCACTTCACAGAGTTCATTAAATGCACAAAAATAATTGCATATGTTCTCTTACACCTTGCATGACTGTCCGCCGCAGTTTTTGCTTAGCCCGATCATCCAGCAAACTGACCTAACCTCCGCGCGAACGTCTCCTGAAATCAATGCATCCGCATCTCCTCAAAACATCCAACAGCGTGACCTTCTCTACACATCAGCTTCATGTGGCGTATCGCTCCTCAGACGATGAGTATGAACATCATCATAGGCAATGGTGAAGATACTCTTCTTCTCCAAGAACTGATTTTTCTTCTTCCTTACCCCAGGAACAAGTGTCGACGAGATATTGGAGCCAGTATCGTCAGGCACAAATCGCCGGAGATCTTCTTCTGGGATATCCTGACTCACAGGAGCACGAGCGTTGACGTCAGCGAAGCCGCTGTCTCCGCTGATGCCATCACTGATGTCAGATTGATGACGTGGGAGACTTGAAGGGTGGTGGGCTTCGGCTCCTTCTGCGATTGCCTCAGCTATGTCTGAAGGACGGTGGTCGGAAGAGATGGAAGTCACGTGCTCCGAGTCGGCTGCGATGTTTGCCTTTGTGGTTGCTGAGTTGGCTGATTTTCCGGAGGCGTTGGTTGGCTCGTTGCCGCTACTGGCAGCTTGCTCCGATTTGTTCTTGCTGTCTTTGTCGCTTTTACTGGATTTGGTTTTGGATGAAGATGATTTGTTGTCTGTTTTCTGGTCACTTTCTGCGCTTGTGCTTGACTTCGACTCCTTGGCAGATTTATCTTTGTTTGCACTGTCAGCAGATTTTGCATCGCTGTTGTTCTTTGATCCTGAGGACTTCGATGATTTAGTTTTTCCCTTGTCTTGTCCACTGTCGTCCCTCCCATTTCCCCTTTCGTCAGAGGACTCCCTAATCTTCGATTTTTCATCACCGTTCGCCTTTGAATCCTGAGATCCCTGCTTCTTCAGTGTCTTGCCGTCTTTCGATTTGTATTTTTCGCTAGCATCCTTCATGTCAATCTCAAACGTTTCGCCCTTACGTTTGTCAGCAGATTGTTTTTTGGAATCTTTTGAAGAGCGTTTTGATTCAGCTGATGTGTTTGAATCAGACTGACCCTTTGAAGGTTTGTCATCACCACTGGCTATTGATTTGCCCGACAGATTTTTGGTGTTGCCGCTATCGGAGTTTCGCTTGTCATCGGAACCCCGTCGGCTTCCATTTTCCCCGTTTGATCCACGTCTTCCTTTTCCTTCATCGGTTATATCATCGCTGTCTCGCCGAGTGCCACTCTCCCTATGTGAACCGCTCTTCCTACTATTATCCCGTGAATCATCACTTCCTCGACGTCTTTGAGATCTACCATCATGTTCACTTCCTCGCTTGGCATCTTCGTCTCTGTTTTTGCGATTTTGATTGCTTTTCTTATCATTGTCATCCCTATCCCTTCCGTCGTAATCGTTACGCCAACGATAGTTGTCATCTCGCCCTTGATAGTCATCATCATCATCACTTCTTCGTTTGCCATTTCGTCCTCGTTCAGATACACCTTCATTCATATCCTCTTCGTCTCTTCTTCGATCCCCATGCTTCCTTCCTCTTTGCTGGTCATCTTGCTCTTCGTCTTGATAATCATCTCCTTCATCCTGATTTCGTCGCCTTCCACGTCTTTCACCGTCGCCATCTTGTCGTCTAGCATCGACGTCCCTATCTCTGCGTCCATCGACGTGGTAACCGCCTCTGTCGTTGTCATTCCTTCCATTCCAGTCTTCTCGCTGTCTCCGACTTTCATCTCTACGATTCCGTTCATTGCCTCTTCCTCCGTCATCAACGTTCTCTTCACGTCTGTATCTGCCCTCATCTCGTTCTTGACGTCCTCTTATCTCTCCGCGATCATTCTCAAACCTATCACCTCTTCTCTCCCCTCCTCGTCTGTCTCCTTGACGCATGCCATCCACGTTTTCACCTCTCTCATCATCCCTGTTCCTCTGTCTCCCATACGATCCAACTGAATCATCCCTTCGTCTTGGTTTTGCTCTTTCTTCCACACCTCTCTCACGACTCTCTGTTCGAGTGCGTTCACGTCTTGGGCGGCCTTGTGATCCAGCTGACCCAGCCCTCTGCAATCGATTGCTGTTGATCATATGACTACTAAATTGTAGACTCAACTGGGAACCTGGACGAGAGTCAGTCAGTCTCCCAGGAATGGGCGCTCCAGCGTGGTCCCTCCTGGGTGGTTCCCCTTCGTCTGTGGAGCGTCTTCTACCTCGTGGGGGTTCCAAGGGCTCACGGTGATGCTCAGGATCCTGACTGCGACTTCGCTGTCGGCGGTACTGTCGTGAGGGGTTGAGCTCGGAGTTGGGAGCTCCTTCAGTGGCACCGGCACGCCTGCGGCGATCCTGGGAAGGAGACGGGGAGTTAGATATGTGGAGGAAAGGAAGGTGAGAAGAGAAGATTAAGAGGGGAAGAGCGAATGAAACAAGGGTTTGGAGGTAGGAGAAGGAAAACTGAAGATGGGAGGAACAGGGAAGGTGGAAGATTAAAAGAAAAGGTTGTTTGCGAAATGATGGACTGGATTAGTTAGATGTGAACAAGGAATCATCAAGGAAGGGCAAATCATGAAAAATGAGTATCTAAATATGCACTAAAATACTTGATTCATAATTCTCTCACCGGCCAGGCCGCCGGCCAGGCCGCATGACTGAAATGCAACTCCTTGAAAAGATGTTAGGAAGAATAACGTCGTATTATTTTTTTCTCTCTCTTGGCTTCTGACTCCAAAGGCAGGAAGTTAGGTCCTGCTGATACAATAAATGGCATATCAATTATCTACTTACAATGCCAATAACACATGCCGATCAAAACAAATATTTGCAATGGCTCTTGTTTGCATCATTCAGTCAGCACTAATCATACTTTGTCATTGTGTGTTACTGCATGCAATACCATTACCCATCTCGAGTTAACCAAGCCAGTGCATTAGTTTAAAAAAGAAGTAAATTTTCTTTTCATGCAAGGGAAGATAGCTAGGACAAGGACGACATGAAGAAACCACGAAGAACGTTGGATGTTTCGTCTCCAGATCGGATGGCACGATTCCAACTGCAACTATTCCCAACTGTTCAGAGTGCATGCCAACTGCATCCTGTCTACTGTTCAACTGCCATGCCAACTTCTATCTACTTGATTATTTAGAGTACTGTACCTGAATGGCCCTGGCGTGCTGTAATCGTCTCTCATACATCAACTGTACGACACTCTTAACTGTACCGCCAGCATTCCACACCTTCCTCGCACTTCCTTCTTGCTCATTCTTATCTTCATTTCCAATCGTACTGTCCTTCTTCCAGACCCTGCCATCATTCTCTCCTTTCTTGTAATCCCTCATGATCCCTGCTTCTTTCCTCATGACTTCACTGTCTCCGATCCGTTTCAGCTTGATGGACTTCCGTCTTTTTCTATGAAAGTGAGGGCCTGATCTACCCAACTGCTGCTGATGTTGTTGATGTTGATGTGAGGCCAGCAAGCTCTTCCTTCTTCTGAGCAGCGAGGCCTTCGTCTGGGCATACACGGTGTCCGGTTGATCTTCAGGAGGCTGGGACATCTGTAGTGATGCGTGAGGGGGTGCAGGGGTTAGGAGAGAGGCTAGGTGGGCTGTTGTTGGCTTGTACGGCGGTGAGTGGTACCTAAGTTGTTAGTGATTACTGTCAGTAATTAGTGATGGTTAGTGGCTTGCAACCAGTGCTGTCTGTGATGATCTGTTAGTAGTGGTAACAGTCAGTAATCGGTAGTAAATGGTTAGCCAGCTATCGTCATTCGTCAGTTATCAGTTGCCTCTGGTAGGTAATTGGGTTTTGTTCGCTTGTAACTGTTAACCCTATTAGTGGCAGGGGGGGTTGTTTTCATCCACCCCTCAGGTTTTTCGGGAATATCTCCGAAACCGCTGAAGCTACGATGCTGAAATTTTCTGACTTTTCCTAAAACTAAATTGGGCACATTCCCTGAAAATTTCAAGTTCATAACTTTACCAAGGGCGGCTCCAGAGCACTGGGAATTGGGGGGTCCTATTCGTGAAGCGAGTCATTTGGGCGATGATCACGATGCTGATGTATTATAACTGTATGCACCAGTTTTATCATGTGATAACATATACAAAGTTATTGTGCATCCTCTTTTGACACGTTTTTGCTATAATAGGCGGATCCAGGCGTCCAAAAAGGGGGGTTATGTTTTACCTCCCAACATAGGTGCCCTGACACCGCCTATGCATGACCAATACAATTGTAGTCGTTCTCTCATAAGAAAATTGTAACATAACAAGACCATTACCACCCTTTTTAGAAACAGTACCAACAAAAACCTTATTTACTATACCTTTTGTGTACCCCCAATCTCAATGATCTGTATCCGCCTATGATTTTTGAAAATGCATATTTTTAGGATCCATGTGAATTCCTGGTTCATTCTCTATCGATCGGCAAAAGTTGCGTTAAGATTGGTTCAGAAACCTGGCCGTGATAAACAGTCTAAAATGTATCTGCAATTTGCCCGTTTTTACCCCCCTCAACCCCCCTTTTGACATTTTCTTAATTTTTATTTTTTAGAAATGTAGATCACGTTGAGCGAAGTCGAATGCCGTTTGAATTTTGAAAATCAGCCCGTTAGATCTCGAGATATCAAGGGGGGGTCGTAAACAGCCCCCCCCCCTGCCACTAATAGGGGTAGCCAGGAGCCTGCCACTAATAGGGTTAAGTGGTGAAAAATCAATTGCAAGGCGTCATTGGCTATAGTAGAACTCCCAGCCAGTGGGCAGCAGTCAGTAGCTAGTAATCAATGGTTTATAGTGACGGATCAGTGGCCAGCGATTGATGATCAGTGACTATTAGTGAGAGTCAAGTGGTCAGTACTGCTACTAGTGGTCAGTAAACCCTGGTCAGCAGTCAGTGAGCAGTGGTCAGTGGTCAATATTCAATAGCTAGTAGTCAGTAGTCACAAACCCTGGCTAGCAGTCAGTGAGCAGTGGTCAGTGGTCAGTACAATAGCTAGTCGTCAGTGGTCAGTAGTCAACAGCTAGTAGTCAGTAGTCATAAACCCTGGTCAGCAGTCAGCAAGCAAAGGTGGCAGTCACGCTGCAGCCTAACAGTCAAAAACCAGCAGTGGATTATGGAATCAAAAGGCACTCGCATCCGTGGCAGTGTGACATCTGTGATCAGTCAGTGAAATGTGACAGCGGGCAGTGCCATAAGTGAGCGTACGTACATCAAACAGTGAGCATTTACAGAGAGGCCCAGGCGAAAAGCGTATTCACAGCACATCGAAGCACGATTCTTAGCAGGTATTATAGCCAAAATTGATAACGACAAAGCATCAATGAAAAATTAGCCGCCGTATGTGCAGCATTCAATGATATTAACTAAATATTCTGGGAAGACTCGTCAAATGAATAGCAAATGCAGTTCTGAAAATAATACTCGTAAAATCAATTAGACGTACAAATTTACTTATTACAATAAGCAAATATATCCATTCCGTTTGGGAACTTTCCCAATTTACCATTACCGTTTAGCGTTTATCCCGTACACCTTCACCTCCTTCCGCTTCCGCCAAGTGTTCCATGCTATTAGTATTTACAGTCCTCATTAAATTTTAATTACCAGTCAATTTATATTCCATGACATATTTTTGTTATTAAGCCCCTCCCACCTCTTTTCTAACCTGTCTCCCTTTCCTCACTGGCGTACCTCTCGGTCCTCACGGTCCAGAACACTGGCAGTTTCTTCTTGTATTGGCGCCCTTATGGCCAGCGCCTCTGCCTCAGTGACGTCACCGACTCGCCGCTGTGACGTCACGGTGGCAATACCGCCCGGCTGCCGGCTGTGGTAGGGGTAGTCGGAGAGGCCGGAAGGGCCGGGCTCGGCCGGGCTGTGAAAGAAGTGGGGTTTGGTTATACAATGTCATGTAACTAGGTATCGCTACATCTAAGAACTAGGTAAGACAATGCGATGGCACGATAAGTTGGGGAAGCCTGTCAGATTTTCCCTGCTACAAAACGAAACCGGATGAAAACTGTTCAAGCAATTTTCTTTTGATTCATGTCGTTGGTTGTCAAACGGCTGGAATCGGTATACCTACACCATTCATCGATAAATCAAAGCTCCCGTAGTATCAAACCCCATCAGGAAACTCTTCACCTGTGTGTTGTTCTTGGTCAATGGAACTCCAACAAAATTCCCAACCCTTACCAACATGAAACTCCTACATCATGAAACTCCCATAAAACTCCTAACAACACCCACACTGTACCAGGAATATAAGCTAATGACCCACCCAGTTTTCATCCCTCCCATCTATCTTAAAAGACATCAGTTCTCATAGCTCACATACCTCACATGCCCACCATCGCTCACATCGCTCAGTAACGGCGGAACACCTTCAATTAGGGAAGGGGGGCACTGCCGACTTTTGGTCCCATTCTTTCCATGCAACGCTGTGGTGTTCTGTTACGGACTGGTGTCCCTCTTTCGTTCCGTACCGTACGAGTGTGCCAGTGTCACCTAGCGGCAGTTCTGTTAACTGCAGGTTGTGGGGGTGGCGCTGAGGGCGAGTGACGTGTCCGTAGGCCGGCCGGCGGGGCAGTCGGTTGGCGACGGTGGTCACGGATGGTGACGGTCTGTGCCGTGCGCGTTTTGAGTTCTTCCTTTTAACCGGACTGTATATATCGCGTGGGTGGTGCAATACACTACAGTGGCGACGAGGAACTGAGATCCTTCTGCGCTAAGTGATAACAGTGATCGCCGCGATGGACTGTTTGCGTGCGCCAGCGCCATTTCTAGTGGCGCCAGGACGGCCGACCACGCCCTGGTCCCAGTGGCTTGGCGAGTTCAGGATTTTCGCCGTGGCGAGTGGTTGGGACGAGTGGACTGTGCAGCGACGAGAGGCCCTCCTATTACACTGTGTGGGACAGGAGGCGCGGCGTCTCTATTTCGCGGCGGCGAAACCGGCGCAGGGCGTGGCACCGGGAGCGCAGGAGGCGGCGATTCCGGCGCAGGAGGAAGATGGTGTCAAGGAGGAAGGACAACCGACTGCAGCATTCGACCCGGTGGCTGCGATCTCTGCAGTGTTTCGGCGGCTGTTTCCGGAGACACGAGCGACTCATTCCGAGAGAATGCTGTTCCGGCGGTGTTACCAGCTGGACAGGTCTCCAGCGGTGTACCTCACTGAGCTGCAGGACCTGAGTTCCAGGTGCGCCTTCGGCGATCTCCAGGAGCAGCTGACCTGTGAGCAGTTCATCGAGGGCTGCAGGGACGACAGGTTGAGGGAGCGGCTGTGTCGGGAGCCAGCTCTGACTGTGTCGCGCATCCTCGAGGTGGCAGAGGAGCTGGAGGTGGCTGCTGAGCGACAGCGGCTGGTGGGTGGAGGTGGAGCTACGCGGGCACCAACCTCTCCCCCGGCTCAGCTGGAGATAGCTGCAGTGACTGCTCCCAGGAAGGGGGTCTCGCTGTGCTTCAGCTGTGGCGGTCCCCACCGGACTGCTGATCCCTGCTGTCCAGCTCGTTGGAGAAGGTGTCACAACTGCCAGCAGAAGGGCCACTACGCCAGATTCTGCAAGGAACCACCTCAGAAGACGAAGCAGACCAAGAGGAAGCCAGTGAGGACTGTTGAAGTGCTGGCCGTGACGGATGACGACCGGAAGAACCTGTGGACCGAGCTGCGGGTGGACCAGCAGCCACTGCGGATGCTGGCTGACACTGGCTCGGCCGTGAGCATCCTACCGTTGTCCGTCTACAGGAAGCAGTTCCGCCATCTGCCCCTCCTGCCCACTGCAGTGCGCCTGGAGGCCTACGGAGGGTTATCGCTGCTGGTGCAGAGGGTGGTGCAGGTGACAGTGCAGGCAGAGAACGGCAACAGCTCCCAAGTTTCACTGTACGTGGTAGACGCTGGCGTGCCCCTGCTGGGCAGAGATCTGCAGGAGAAGCTGAAGTTGTCCGTGATTCACGGGGCGACTGTGTGTGCTATCCAGGAGCAGATGCCAGAGGAGCTGCCGAGTCTCACTGGGTTCGTGCACAGCGTGAAACTGAAGACGGAGTTCAACCCAGTACAGCAGCGGCTGAGACCTCTACCGTACGCCGTGAGGGCGGCGGTGACTGCCCAGCTCGGAGCAGTGCAGCGGGACGAGCTGCTGGAGGCGACACAGACTGACCCAGTGCTGTGCCAGCTGGTGCAGCAGATCCCACGGCGGTGGCCGCGACGGCGCCGCGACTGCCCGGCAGAGCTGCAGCCCTTCTACAACTGCCGAGAGGAGCTCAGCCTGGTGGGAGACCTGGTCGTCCGCGGGCAGCGGGTGATCGTGCCAGCGGCGCTGCGGACGAGGATGGTGTCCCTGGCCCACGAAGGACATCAAGGGATCGTCCGAACTAAGCAGCGGGCTCGTGACATCTACTGGTGGCCCAAGATGGACACGGACATAGAAGAGGCGGTGAGAAACTGCGACGTGTGTGCTGACGTGGACAAGTCGGCTCGGACCCGCAGTGCGCCGCTACACCCGGTGCCGCTGCCAGGAGCGGCATGGGAGAAGGTGGGCGTGGATTTTATCGGCCCAATGGAAGCGCGCCGCCAGCACCGATACGCGGTAGTGCTGGTAGACTACTTTTCCAAATGGATAGAAGTCGGCTTCTGCACAGAACCCAGCACGGAGGCGGTGGTGCAGTTTCTGGAGACGCTAGCATCTCGAGAAGGTTACCCGAAGGAGCTGGTGTCCGACAACGGGACACACTTCACCTCAGCAGCGTTCGCAGACTATCTGAGGAGTGTCGGCACGCGCCACATCCGGGTCACGCCGTACCACCCTGCCGGGTCAGGTGCGGTGGAGCGTGCGAATCGCACAGTGAAAAGTGCTCTCCAGGCGGCGGACCGGAGCGGCGAAGATCGAGCGTGTTATCTGCAGAAGTTTCTGCAGACGTACAGGAGCACGCCTTACGCCACGACGGGGCTGAGTCCAGCCGAGCTTCTGCACGGACGGAAGCTGAGGACACGTCTGCACGCGGCGGGTCTTCCCACAGAAGAACCGCAAGATCGTGAGCTGCGAGACAGAGTGCAGAAGAGGCAGAAGAAGCAGAAGAGGTACGCTGACGAGCGGCGTGCAGCTGAGACACCACGGTTCCAGGTCGGCGACTGGGTCCGGTGCCGGCTGGTGCCGCGTCCCAAGAAGGGACGGCCACGGTACTCCGAGCCGAGACGGGTGGAGTCTCGCCTGGGACCAGTCAGCTACAGGCTAGATGACGGCTCCCGGATCCACGCAGAGCGGCTGACGACAGCTCGGGCGCCGCAGCAGTCTCAGGCTGAGCTGCACGTGGATCAGAGCGGCCAGCCGGGGGCTGGTCAGCGGAGTGCGGTGTCTCCGACGTCTGTGCCTCGCCGCGGGGAGCGGCTGGAGGCCGACGACTGGCGGCACGCGGAGGACGGCGTGCCACTGGAGGACGGACAGGCTGTGTCACTGGGGGTCGGCCGGCGGCACACCGAGGCCAGCCGGGGTCCCGCGGAGGACGGCGTGGCTGTGTCACCGGAAGACGCAGAGGACGCTCGGGAGCGGGAGGCGTCATCACCTCCGGCGACGGAGCGGCAGGCAGAGCAACAAGACGCTGGCGTACTGCTGTCGCCGCGCGAGGCAGCGAGCGGTGCCGGGCTGGTGGCGGTCGAACCTGCTCTCCAGCCGGGCGCGAGAGTGAACTCCGGGACGCAGCCGGTGAGGAGGTCCCAGCGTACGAGACGTGCGCCAAATAGACTGTAACTTTTTCCAGGGGGGGAAGAATGTGGTGTTCTGTTACGGACTGGTGTCCCTCTTTCGTTCCGTACCGTACGAGTGTGCCAGTGTCACCTAGCGGCAGTTCTGTTAACTGCAGGTTGTGGGGGTGGCGCTGAGGGCGAGTGACGTGTCCGTAGGCCGGCCGGCGGGGCAGTCGGTTGGCGACGGTGGTCACGGATGGTGACGGTCTGTGCCGTGCGCGTTTTGAGTTCTTCCTTTTAACCGGACTGTATATATCGCGTGGGTGGTGCAATACACTACAAACGCCCATATGGCTAATGCTAAAATGCCAAAATCAAGGGGGGGGCACGGTGCCCCGGTGCCGTTCCGCCGCCTTTGACATCGCTCACATCTCTCGCATCTCTAATCCCTGCTCACCCTGCACCATCTCTCCCGATGAAGCGCTGCATCAACATAGCCTTCCCACCGCCCTCGCCCATCCCCCGTCGGCCATCTTGCTCTTCCTCCTCTTCTCCATCCTCTTCGTGAAGCACGAGGACCTCGCTCCGAGTCCGGTGGTGTCTGTCTTTTCCAGGGGTTCGGTCACCGAGTCTCAGTCGACCGGAGCCGTATTGGATATCAGTGTCGTCTCTCGGACGACCACGGTAGGTGGGGCGTTCTGGAAGGTACGGTTCATGTCAGTTACGAGAGAAAACTACGGTAGATGTCAGTTTTTTAGGAGGGTTCGGTACAGGAGAGGACAGTTTCTAAGCTAGGCGTGGTATGTTACATCCTTCGTTATTTGACTCTGGCTCTAGAATAGCCACACAATTGTGAAATGAGCAAATAACGTGAAATAAATAATTAGATTATAAATAAATGGGTAAATAAATAAATAGATACATTAATAAACATTTTTTTATAAATAAAGGAATAAATAAATAAAAACTTATGTCACTAGATACTAGTTATGGCAGATATCTCTCCTCATTCATGGGAGCCTGAAGTTTTTTTGCCCTATGAGAAGATGTGAGGGACATTTTCGGCACACACTTCAGCATGTCAGCCGTTATATCACAAAATGATCATGTTGTTCTCGTCTCTAGAATCAAGGAATGCTAGTCAGTGCGGCAATTTTGCAGAAATTCTCTCATCTCTTTGTTTCTAGCAAACTACAAACAAATCAACTCACCGATTTCGTTGCCGTCCTCATCTATATAGACCTCTCTACGCCTGGGACGGGCGGAGGTATGCAGTCGGAGCGTCTCGCTGTTGCCATGGTGACGGTACTCGGCGTCTCGTCCGCTGTTGTCGTTCAAGGTCAGCACCTGGGGAAGCACAGTTGCTATGGTAACGCTGCCACTGTTTTCGTTCAAGGTTAGCCACTGCCATGCTGTGCTATTAATGCTATAAAAGCGCTGTACGTTGTAGGTATCAAGATGTAGTACCAATATGTATCAAGATGTAGCTACTGCTATGTGGTATGGCAGCAACAGAGACATTCGAATATTGTTACTCTTTCGACAATTCATACACCATACGACATTGCCATTTGATTTAGGTCATTATTCTAAGCGTCGTGTAGCAAATAGTCATGCTCCCCTGATGATGATGAAGTTACCGTAGAGCGTAAGTAGCGCTGCTAGTGATGATGATGAACATAGGGACGATGATATTGCAGATCACGACATTCCCCCACTTACCTCAACCGAAGGTGACCGTCGCGCCTGTGGCAGTATGACCGACTGTCTCTCCATTTCTAACCGCTGCAGCTCTTCATCTTCCAGGTCCTCCAGTTGGTAACCGACCTCGTCCCCCTCGGCAGCGCGTACCAGCATCGGTCGATCGCCACCCATCACCCGGTACATCTTGGGACCGCCCTGGGGTACGTAGGTGGGGGTTGAGTACATATTGGGACCATCCTGGGGGTACGTAGGGGTTGATCACATCTTCGGTCCGCCCTGGGATCATGGGTATGTCTTAGAGCTACACATGGAAAATGATTTAGATTGGGATACACTAGGAGCAATAGCACTCGGGATGCAGATCTGTGAACGTTTTTGGAATTTCATTGTTTTGATATTGGTGGTATTTTTCAAACCATATTGACCTCTGTGCACTGAGAGTTACAGAGGACTTTGTCCGAGCGTATACCATTTACGAGCAACAAACCGTTGAAATCAATAAGAATATGAATCCTTCCCTCCCTCCCTCTCCCTCTCTCCCTCTCTCACCATTTCCATCCCTCTTACCCTGGATGCTCTAGAATTCGTCCGATGAAGACTCCCAATCTCATTCGGCACGAGGATAATCTGATTATCACGTGCGCCACGTGCGTTCTGTAGCGCCACGTGTCGCGCCATTTCGTCCTCCATCTCGTGGCGCGCCAGCAACACGTTCTCTCGGCCCGGCTCGTCGGCAGGCGCTTCCATCAGGCGGAGTGTGGAAGAGTGAGAGTTTCGCCGGCCGTTTGGCTGCGTTCGGTATTGTCCGTTAGGCCAGGCGTTAGCTGCTGAAACAGAGCGGAGGGGTTATTGGGTGAAGGTGCTGGTGGTTGATTGTCAAGTGTCATTGCTGCCAGTGGTGAAATTATCAAAAACAATCATTCTTCCCATACGGGTGTTAGTTATTGGGTGATTCAAAGCAATTTTCTGTTTCTGTATTTTTAAAGTTAAAAAAGCATTTTATCGTATTCAGGAAAACGTGAGATCTTCACAAAATGGAAAGATATCAGAGTTGTCCTTTAGATGTAACGCCTCACTGCCTACACGAGTGAGGTAATACGGTACTATGAAAAGCAACACATTCCCAATAACGCAACACTTGCTGAGTTATCTGAGGACTTGTCTGGTTTTGCTCAGCCAGCGACCGACACCCCTTCTTACTATCCAAACCATGTCAATCACCCGTCACAATTTCATTACTTTGAAATTATCTCACCAGCCGCCAGTCCCAAAAGCCACCTGACCTCACCAGTCACCACTCCATTGGCTTATCTGTCACCAGTCACTTTTTTGCTAACTCACATAAACTTACCATTCCCCAAAGCCACCTGACCGCACTCGTCATCATTCTACTAACTCACCTAAACTCACCATTTCCCGTACTCACCTGATCTCACTCGCTGCGCGTTTCCAGACACCGCCCTCCTCATCTGTCGAAGGACTCGGCCACTTCGACCGCCCTGGCTCCTCACTCTTTGGCTATTCTCAATACCGACATAGGCCACGGCCTCTTCGTCGTAGTCCTTGGCTTCCTTCTTTCTGTTGAGATGGGGGAAGAGTGGAGATGATCAGTTTGTTGGTAACGTTGAATAGTGGAAGGTCGTATCTATTATTATCTATACAGGAGTAACACAAAAGTATACTCAAAAAGCAACTACAGACATTTTTCGGCAAACCTTCTCTTTTCTGTAAATACAAAAAAGAGAAAAATGCAAAACTTCTCAGAAGACTAGGAACCTAATATTAGGCTCCTACTTCTGAGAAAACTTGAAAAAAACACATCTTAGCCGAAACGCTGCACATAATCTATTCTATGACACTATAAACATATTAACAGCGCCCGTGACATAACACAAGTATGAGTATATCGCAAAGTTGCTTGTACTCGTAGCACTTATAACCTCACTCACTTATGACACTTATAACTAGTATGGTCTGTAGCACTGAAAACCTCACTGACCAGTGGCACTTATAACCCTGTGTCACTTATAACCCCGTTCACTTGTAGCACTTATGACCCCACTCACTTGTAGCAACTAAGTAGCGGGCAGCAGGTGTAGCAGAAGGCACAGTTGTAGCAGCAGCAGCCAATTATGATCGCCAGAAGGATGAGCAGAGCCAGGACAATCAAGAGCCAGAACCACACATTGTCCACGGTTGCCTGGACCACGGGCCCAGAGTTGCTACCGTTGTCCTGTGGGAGAATGGGAGGAAGGTGTTAGAGAGATGTGTTGGAGAGGTGTTACAAAGAATTTACGGATGAGATGCGGAGATCTTGCAGAGATGTCATAGACGGGTGACGGAGATGTTATGAAGAAGTTACAGATGATGTGGCGTACGCCGTACATGCTAGCCCTCGCCCGCACATGGGGGGGGGGTGGTTGCCACCCCCCCCCCCAGGTAGTCTTTCTGCTCTGCACTCAACATTTTTAAAGCTAGAAGGCTGATTTTTCGTATAGCTGCTCCTCTATCCTTTCTTGATGTCCACTGAAAATTTCAAGTTTCTGTGATTTTGGGTTTCGGAGATATGACCTTGTTTTTCAGGTCATGTCATGACCCAAATGGCCAATTTTTAACATATTGCGTTTGCCATGGGCCTTATGAGCTTTTGACACCCTGATTTCGGCCTTTTTTGCCAGTCTTACCTCCTACCTATCATGGAACATGTTGTTCGACGATGTACAGGGGTCAAGGTCAGGGTCAAGGTCAACCTAGGTCACCTAAGATAATTGCGTTTTAGGCAAGCTAAATTTACTTTTTTTTGAAGTTTTTTACTGCATTTTTGGTAAAAGCTTCTCAGATCATGATTTCATGTAATATGGACCCAAAAACAATCGGTGCACACATCAGTATACACACAGACACACACAGACATACAAACACATATAATTGACCTTGACCTAACTTGACCTGAAATGACCTCAGCAGCAAAATTCTGGTCGGGTAGTGTGACAAAGAGGTTCTAGCTGGCTTGGCACCAGAAAACAGCATCGTCATCGGTATTTGATAAGCAGCACACTTGATATCCAACGGTGACCCAAAACAGCAACATTTTTTAGTTTGACCTGACCTGGAAGGTCAATGACTAACCTGAGAAGATAAAACTGGGTATCATTGGATTCGTCTCTTCCCAAAGAATCTTTTTGGTCTTTACTGCTAAGCTCTATCTCCAACAGGAACGAAATGGCGCGGGGGGGGGGGGTGGCAACCCCCCCATGTGCGTTCTAGGATGGGAAAATGGCATGTGCGGGCGAGGGCTAGAGGACACTACAGAGATGGTAAGGAGATTTGGCAAGGAAGTAACAAACATGTTACAAAGAGGAAGGAACACACACAAAGAGGAACACCCACAAAGGAAGCACAAAATGTTACATGTTACATGTTAGAGCGATGTCACAGGAGATGATGCAGTGATGTTACATAAAAATTATGGTGGGCTTTACATATACATATATCACAGAGGCATTACATTGGGAGCGATGCTCATAAAATGACTTAAGACGAAAGCTGTTTGTCAAGTGGTAGGCTCTTCTACACTGGGGCAAGGGAGAATGATACGCATAACATATGAAGGCAAGAGAAAAGTCACCGGAGTAGCCGAACGTTTCAATTTTATCCGAAAAAAATGCTTCACAAGAGAACATGTTGCCTACATAAGAATAAAAGTAGCAAAAATGATATCTTGCAGTGGTCAAAACAACGAGAAATTAGAAAAAGCCACGTCTTTTATACAGTAACATTTTTCGTCCAGCCAAAAATACCTAATGACACGGTAAATGGGAACAAATGAACTGACCTACATCCCATAGAACCACCCCCTGAAATCAAACTTCAAACGATAGGTATTTCTTATATGTATATCTATCCTGTAAGTACACACGTTTCCGTTTACGTACCCCTCCATCGCTAGTAGTCCCTCCGTTCAGTCCCGTGGTGTTGAAGATGGCACCATAAGGACGGGTCACACGGGCCGTGATCACCGTCTGCTCAGCCCTGTGGGGGTAACAAGGGGGAGGGGTGATAAGGGGATGAGAATGAGAATGGTGAGAACTGAGAATGGGGAGGGGTGACAATAGTCAGGGGTGATAATGGGCAGGGGTGATAATTGTGAGGAATGATGATTGGGAGGGGTGAGAATGGGCGAAGACGAAAGGGTGAGCGAAAGCAAATTAGATAATGCTCTATAGTGTGCTTGAAAATACTGTCAGTGTTAGCGACTCGGTATCAATACTTTTCAAAATTGTGTCCTTTTATAGTAAAACCGCAGAAAACACAAGTTGAGGCGTAGCACACTCGAAATAGCAAATGTCAAGCCAACGATGTAAACAGTATAAATAACGAGCAGTGAAGGAGATAAGCAAACTCCGTTTAACCCGCGCCCCAGTGGCGGTCTCCGCCAACTTCGCCCTAGTGGAGGGGGGGGGGGCATATGTTACCACCCACCTCTAACTCAAAAACTAAGAGGGCTAGAAAGACGCGGTAAAAAGCAGTCGATAGCTCTTGATGCGTACGTTTGAAAGTATTTCCGTCATTTTTCATCTTAGAGCAATATTGGGGTCACCAGAGGTCATCAAAGGTCAAAATTTGCGAATTGTTATTATATTTTTCAAAAAACATGCCATTATCTCAGGAACTATGATAGCTAGAAAAACGCTGGGAAAAGCAATCGATAGCTTTTGAACTCTTCTTTTGATAAGGTCATTATCAAAAATGACCTCAGGTCAACGGTTTAGCCTCCAAAGGGCAAAAACTCCAAAAATAGTTGTTTTTAAGAAAAGTGTTTTTCGACAATAACTTTTGACTAAAAAAAGCTAGGTCATTTCTAATGACAGAATCGTGTTCCTCTCACCAAGACGCGTCGAATGAACTATAATTTGACCTTGAAAGGTCAACTTCAAAATTTGACCTCAGGTCAAGGTCATGACCTGACCGGAAAAGGTCATGTTGCATATCAGTCGATGCGTCTCGGCAAGACAAACACAATGAGGCCAACCCCAGCGTTCTATCTCTTTCCAATCGAGAGTTATTGGCAAAAAACTGTTTGTCGCCCCAAATGACCTCGGATGACCTTTCAAGTTGCTATCAGCAAAAAAACACCTTGGTCGTCACGGGTGGTCCAAATCATTGTTATCCTGAAATATTTGGACTGTTCCTATGCGTACACACGGATCTAGAGGCATTTTCGTTTTTCTCCATTGAATTATAATGGAAAGGTCACGCCACTGACCTGACCCCAGCCAGCAATTCGCTTGGGCTGAACTGTGGCAAGCGTCGGGCAGCTTGGGCTTAGCTTGGGTTTGCCCACTTTGATCAAAACCAATGTATGTTTTACTAGGGCTGAGCTGGGGCATGCCGCAGCTATGCCCACGTGCGGATAGCAGTAGCTCAGCCCGACATCTGCCCGCGCATCCAAAACAGGCTTAACTTGGGCGGAGCGCGGGCTGATCAAGCTGGCTGTGTCCTTCGGCTAACTGGAGTAAAGCCGGAGCTTAGCCATACTTGTTCGGCTGTTCGCGCATGCGCAGTTCTGCGCCAATCATGTGCAGCGTTTGTGACAGTCTGCGCGCTGTGCGACGAAACGACACACCGGTGTTGGGGCATTTGGTGGTTGATGTTTGGGCGCGTGTGACAGCGCGAAGAAGGGATAGTGCTCACTGCTCTTATCAAATGGACTGGCATGGAGTTTTACGGTAGGTAAGTGTATTGAATGGTGCGCTTGATCGTATGTAAACGTCATGATTTTGACTGAGTTTGACGCCATCAAACATGAAGCTGAATAGCTGTTCAGCTTGGCGACTTATACCCTCGCTCAGAAAAGCTGCATTCCGTGCCTTTACATCTTTGTGAAATACCAGCACTTCTGAACCAGGAAAATGAAATACAAAACACAAATATTTATCTACTTATCACCGAGCACGCTCATTCTCTGTCCGCATTTAAAACCAAATGAACATTTTATACGGATCAATGAGAAGTGCTTTTACAGTATTAATGCATCAATAAGTTATTTTTCAAGCAAACATGCAATGTAAATTAAACCAATTAATCTCTTTTTCAGGTACGTACCATTAGAGCAAATGGTTCCAAAAAATGGAATAGTTATACAAACCAGGACCGGGTGGACGCCGCACTCGCCCTCGCCAAGTGGTTTAGTGGAAACTGCCTGCTTATAATTAAGTAGGTATACCTACATTTACGGAAACTGCGCCGAAAGCTGGCCGACCACCTACTGCAGATGTGTGTGTGTGGAGGAGCCAGACGCCTCCAAAGCTCCCATTCACCAGAGTGAAGTTCCTTATAAACGATTGTTTGCTTATTGCTTTATGTCTTATGAGCGATTACTTGCTGTCCTTACTTTATGCTTTCGGTTGAGTGTTTAACCAAGTATTATGAACGGGGAGGGAGGCTAGCGGACCTTGTGATTGTTTTATAGTTTTGATGGCGTTTTTTCATGACTCATGCCTTATTACTGCTGCAGTTTGTAGTCCACTGTTTCATGTATTTGTGTTTCATTTGACGTGTCTGTAGTCGTTTGAAATATACACTCAATCAAAGTCAACCACTACTTTCCTTTTGCAATGCTCGAGCCTCGATGACCGGTTAACAGAGCATATGAGTGACCGTAACAATTTCAAATATGCATTGAAACCGCACAACCTGCTGAAAGTGCATTGGCTGCTCCTTGCTACTTGATCCAGTGTGAAGCAAAAGCAAGATGAAGTCAAGTCGAGACTTGAGAAAACAGGAGCCGTCACTCGAGCCGAACCCGAGCAAAGCCACAGCAGTTTGCAATGTATAAACCCCATTCACTCCTATGGCTTAAGTCGGGATAGACAGGGCACACAGAGTGGGCTTGCCGGAGTTCAGCCCGCTCGGGCCCAGAGTAATCTCCATTATATAAATGGATTCACTGCTCGGGCTTAAATCGGGCTAACGCCAATCGTCGCTTAACTAGGGCTAAACTACGGCTGTCCGGAGCTCGCAGAGCGGGCATACCTCCGGCAGAGCATGGGCTTTAGTCGGCGTTTTTGTGTCATACGCCGACTTTAGCCCAAGCCAGTGGCGCAGCCAGGATTTCGTTTCGGGGGGGTCATCTCCTTCAAAGCGGGCCCCCTAGTGTGCGGGCCCCCCACTCATTTTTCAGAATCTCTCCATATTTCATACACATTCTGCTGAGCGGGCCCCCTTTACCTGCACGATAACCCTGAGCGAGTATGAATCAGAAAATTTGGATAGAACAATAGCTCGGTAATCACCCGGTGTTCAATTTTTACGCAAATTGACCACAACAGAAATATGTATGTTACTATGACGTATGAATTCGTATCTTTCGAGGCCGAAAAGTGCCCCTTCCGCAATATGCATAGCATATATGCAATCGGAACTGTTGCCTGCTTCTGTCGGACAAGATTTAAGTAGGCTCACGTGCCTGTCCTAAGCCATCTATTGGCTGCTGTAGTATGTAGATTATGCCATCATTCTTCTTCATTACGTGAATTCGCTCACAAAAAGTTTTAACCCTCGCCGGCACAGGGGGAGGGGTCGATGCACCCCCTGAGGTTTTTTTTCGCGAATAACTCGCGTAAAAAGCGGCTGATCGCGACGTAACTTTCAGCACCCTCGCGTTGATCAATTTTACACCTACCTACCCTAGGTATTTCATGACCCTGACCCAAATGACTTTTGATCTACTTTCCGAGACCATGTTTGGCCAGAATCGCGGTTCGGCGTATGCCGGCTCGCATTAGCCGCGCGTTTGCAGTCCTTTCGTGGTTTCAAGCGTTCAAACATGTGATTTGATGTTGCTCCCATGCATAAGGGTGATGTCAATGTCACCTGAAGGTCAGGTCAGGTCAGGTCATTGACTTATGATGACCTCGGTACACTTTTTTCAAGTAATGCATGTTTCTGGGCTAGTTTTTTTTAAAAGCTGATTTCGATTTTAGCAACCATTTGAACATTTAAGAAGTAGTTTTGGTGCCTTCGTAACATGTTACGAAGCTGTCAGAGGCGGTTGACACGTAGGTACTACGAATCATGGGTGTAACTTTGTATACTTTCGAGGTCCCATGTGGGACCCCAATGCGAACATTTGGGACCCCAATGGTCGTTTTGGGACCCCAATAGTGGAGGCCCCTGAGACGCACCAGCTACTTTACAAATGGAGGTCCGATGTTCATATAGAAGATTCTCTGTATAAATAGGAGGCCCCTGGGACAAAACGGAGGTCCTGTTGGACAAATGGGAGGCCCCCTGGACAAATAGGAGGCCCCTGAACAAGTAGGGGGCCCCCTGAACAAGTAGGAGGCCCCCTGAACAAGTAGGAGGCCCCCGGAAAACAGGAGGCCCCTGGATAAATAGGAGGCCCCCTGGAGAAATAGGAGGCTCTCTGGACAAGCAGGAGGCCCTAGACAAATAAGAGGCTCCTAGACAAATAGGAAGCCCCCTGGACAAATAGGAGGCCCTCTGCACCAAACAAGAAGCCCCCTGAACAATTAGGAGGCCTCATGGACAAGTAGGAGGCCCTCTGTACAAATAGGAGGCCCCTTGGAAAAATAGGAGGCCCCTGGACAAATAGGAGGCCCTAGAACTAGACAAACAGGAGGGCCCTTTCACAAAAGGAGGCCCCCTGGACAATTAGGAGCCCCCTGGACAAATATGAGACTCCTTTTACAAAAGGAGGCCCCCTGGACAATTAGGAGGCCTCCTGGACAAATAGGAGGCCCTCTGCACAAACAAGAAGCCCCCTGAACAATTAGGAGGCCTCATGGACAAGTAGGAGGCCCTCTGTACGAATAGGAGGCCCATTGGAAAAAAGGAGGCCCCCTGGACAAATAGGAGGCCCTAGAACTGGACAAACAGGAGGCCCCTTTCACAAAAGGAGGCCCCCTGAACAATAAGGAGCCCCTGGACAAATAGGAGGCTCCTTTCACAAAAGGAGGCCCCCTGGACAATTAGGAGGCCCCCTGGACGAATGGAAGGCCCCTGGATAA